CCCCCTGAAAAGATCCTGTGCAGTACTTTAAGTACAACACCTGCAGGGTCAATTCTGGCATGACCTGGACCTCCAGTCTCCTGAGCGGCAGCATGGTCTGCTCCATCTTCGAGCGCTGCACCTCCTCCGGCCTACATTAGTACGACGGAGCCGGCGCGCGGATCCTGGAGGAAACTGAAGCTGGCAAAAGCAATAGCAAGCTGACCATGCGCATCATCTGGCAGCACCGGGGGGCGGCGCTGGAGTGCCGGGTGCAGGGCTACCGGAATAGGTGCCTCCCCAAATTGTCCCAGTCCCCAGCCACAGGTGAGTGGCATTATGTATGGGGCCTTCCCTTTCTCGGGGGTGCCAGCTCCCATCAGGCCCCAGGGCAGGGGCTGGCTGGGGGGCAGGGAATGGGGCACGGGGCCTTTCCCCTCTAGCAGGCATTGACTCTAATCAGGTCTGAGGGCAGGGGTCTGGCTGGTGCTGGGGGTGGGGAATGGGATACGGAACCTTTCCCCTCTAGGGGGCGCCAGCTCCCATCCAGCCTCAGGGTGCGGGACTGGTTGGCTCAGAGGGGCAAGGAATGGGGCACGGGGCTTTTCCCCTCTAGGGGGCGCTGGTTCTGACCCATCTCCAATGGCCTTTTCAGGCCGACCCCCCCGCCTGAAGGTCCTGGTGGACATGGACGTCCCAGGCCCGATCAGGGAGGGTGACTCGTTCACGTTGAGATGCGTGGGGGACAGCGGGTAGCTGGACCAGGTCTACTTCTGGATTCACAACTACGAGGACCTGCACGGCTTCCCCTCTCAGCAGATTGAAGGGGCAACCTTGTCTCATGGGGGCAATTACACCTGCATGAAGTGGGTCTCCGACATAGGGTATGCCTATCCCCCATATCCCCCACAACCTATGTGGCCATCCTTGGTGAGTAGCCAGTGCCAGGGCGGGGCCACAGCCCTGGGGGTGGAGCCAAGGAGCACAGATGGGAGGGGTCCTTGTCTCACCTACATTCCAAATGGGGGCAGGACCACAGCCATGGGAGCGGAGCAGGAGAGCACAGATTGGGGGTCTCTCTGTCACTGACATTCCAGTTGGGGGCAGGGCCACAGCCATGGGGGTGGAACCAGGTTCACAAATGGGAGGGGGCGGGGCCCTCCTTATGCCACCACTTGGATATGGGAGCGGAGCTAAAGCACTGGGGGCGGAGCCATGGAGCCCCTCCACCCCATGCCATGCTGCGCCTAAGCCCCCAGCTGCCGTCCCACGGGGCTTTATTAGCTCATATCTCATTCCGCTTCCTCTGCAGCCCCCCCTGTGGTGCATGTGGTGGCCACCCCAGGCCCTCATCGCAGCACGGGGGAACCCCTGTCCCTGACGTGCCGGCTGGACACCAGCGCCTATAGCAGATTGGACTTCTCCTGGTACAAGGATGGCGAGCAGCTGGGGTGGGCACACGCGGAACTTGCTTTCCCGGGCGTACAGGTGGCTGATGGGGGAGAGTATCAGTGTGAGGTGCACAACACCCTAGGGAAATCCACCTCCCTGCCACTCACCATCACTGTTGTGTGTAAGTACTAGGTGCATTTGACTCCATGTTACGCATTACATAGCCTGGGAATGGCTTAGAGTCCTCCATGCATCATGGCTGAACCCCGCACAGTCCTTCTGCAAGGCCATGCCATCCCAGCACCGTCCTTCTGCAAGTCCAACCAAAATAAACAAGCTCCCAGCTCGTGCTCCAGCTGGGTCCGCTTTGTTGACCAAGATCCAGTATCTCTTTCCAGCGCACAGAATCATCTAGCGGCCGATTAACATTGCAAATCAGCCTGTCATCAGGCCAAGAAACACCCATTCAAATAACATACATTTGGTTGAAATTTAATATTTTTTAATCATCAGGAAAAATGTCTGGTTTGCCCCCCTCAAAATTAGCTCTTTGCCGGACTTTTCATTACATTTTTCACGTCAGTTTTTACCTACAGTGTTTTCAAAGAGCAATTCATGGGCGGTGGGTGAATGAGCTGTTGGGGGAGCCTAGCCGCCGGCCCCTCCCTCACTGCCTGAGAACGACTCCTTCCCTTCCCCGCCGGAGCCCAGAGCCCTGGTGGGTGGGTGGGTGTGTTCCTGCTGCCTCCTGCTGGAGGAGCTGAGCCCTGCTCTGTATCTCTGTGTGTCTCTGCCCACCACCTGCGGCCGCCTGCCCCCCTGTGCACCCCCAGTCCCAGAGTGCCCCCAACCCTGGCGCCGGGCAGCGTGGCATGGCCCCAGCTCCAGCGGCCCAGCCCCTGGCCTCATGAGCACCGGCCCCAGCCTGCCTGCCCCAGCCTCGGAAGAGGGAAGGGAACTGGAAGCAGGCAGGAGGGAGTCTGGGGTCGGAGCGTGGGTGGGGCCACGCCTGGCTGGGGAGGCACAGCCTTCCCAGTCCTACGATACCCGCCGCCCATGGGGCAATTGTTGAAAATTATAATCAATTAAAGTTAAATAAACTTTTAAACAGAAAATACTGTGGGGGGCAGAGGGAGATTGGCAAACTAAATTGTTTAGGTTTTTGGGAAACAGACAATTATGATGGCTGAACAGAACCATATTTGATCAAAATGCAGATAAAACAATGGATGAAACTTTGGAGGGAATGTTTGATTCAAAGTTTAGAAAAGTTTCAAATACCAAATTCCCAAAACTTTTTGGGGCAAAAGTGGGGGAAACGGCTCCATTTTGTACCCAGCAAAACAGAAACACACATTTTTGCGATCATTCACATTTTTTCTTCCATTGGCCTGTGCAGCTGCCCGCACCAGGGGGCTCTGGTCTCACTTGGGGCAGGGTCTGTGTCTCGCTCTGAGTCTGTGATCTCAGCAGGGACAGGGACTGTCTCTGGTTGTGTGTCTGGGCAGCGTCCGGCACAATGGGGCCCTGATCTCAGCGGAAGCTTCTAGGTGCTATTGTAATAAGAGGAGATTGGAGGTTTTATGAACCTGGAAGAAACTCCAATGACCAATAAACACTTGGGAGGGAAATTCTCCTGGTTAAAAACCCAGCTTCCTTCCTGCCCCCTCCACTGAGACTGGTCTTCATTGTCCCCCCTAGGACTATGCTGCTCCCTCAACCAGCTCCCACCTCCCCATCTCCCCTGTGCCCACCCCACTGCACCCTGCATGAGACTGGAGCTAATGACCCTATTCTCCATCCCTGCCCCCCCACAGACGGCAGTGACTGGTACCAGCTGAGCCCTGGCCCCATGGCAGGCTTCGGAGCAGGGGTCCTGCTGCTCTTCCTCCTGAGCAACCTCGGGGTTTATTGTCTGGCCAGGAGACTCCGCCAACGGAAAGAACTGGGGGGGAGTCAGCAGGGTAAGGGACCCCCCGGGGTGGGAATTGGGGGAGGGGCAGGAAAAGAGGCTGCTCTGGCTGTATTATGGAAAACTGGAGTGTGGGTGTGTGAAGGAAATCAACCCACTGCTCTGTGTGTGTGTGTGTGTCTGCCGCCCCCTGCTGGAGGGGCTGAGCCCTGCACTGTGTGTGGGAGGGTTGGAGGAAGCGGCTTGCTTTGTGGAGGGGCCAGAGGGGGGAAACGATTGATTTGAGGGCGCCCCCAAATCTTGGCACCCTAGGCAACCACCTAGTTTGCCTAAATGGTAGCACTGGCCCTGCCTCTTTCACACAATCTGTTTCTCTTTCTGTGTCCCCAGCAGGAAATCCCATGTGCCGGGGAGATTCCCTGCCCCTCGGACGATGCCGGCGACTATTATAACAGCCCCAAGGACTATTGTAACTGAGCACGGCCGAGATCCCTGCCTTCCGCACTCCCCTCCGCGCCGCCGCATCCTGGATCTCGATAAGAGTCCACCGCTCACGCCCCAGGCAGCGTTCACCCACCTCCATGAGCTGGGGAAACCCAGGAGAACCCAGGCATCCTGACTCCTACCCCTCCTCCCACCCCGCAGCAGAGCCCTGGGGCAGGCCCCACTTGGGCCACTGGATCTGGGCATTTCTGGGGCAGTTTAATTGTAGCGTCGATTTTCCAGGTTGCGTTGGCTTTTGGGAGGCAGGTCGGCCTAGCAGATAGAGAACAGAACTGGTAGGGAGGCGATCTGGAGTCTGCCTGCCCATGGGCAACTCACAGTCCTGCTCCGTGCCTCAGTTTCCCCATCTGTGCAAGAGGGGTAATGATCCTGCCCTCCTGTGTGTAGCACTTGGCGATCCCTGGCCGGAAAGCGCTAGACACGGGCAGGGTGTCGTTACCGACCCCACTGCTGTTTTCTTTCAGTTCCAGCCCCTTTCTCAGCTTTAGCTCAGTTTTCGTCAGGGAATTGCCTCTGTTTTGTTTCTTGTTCTTGGATAATAAAGCGGTTTTACAAACCCATCAGCTTGGGTGACTGCTGCTGGACAGGGAGGGTTTGCCGAGGGCAGGGGGCTCCGAGGCTCGAAAGCTAAAGGAAAAATGTCGCAGCAAGCAGCCTTCCAAAGCTTTTTTTTTAGCAGATTGTGCAACCGGGAGCCAATCAGACTCTCTGGTGGGGAATTAAAAAAAAAAAAAAAAGGCAGAAGCCCCTCCCCCCAGTGCCCCAAAAGAAGCAAGAAATGAATAGTCAATTACATACACAAAGAAGCCAATATACGCTTGCTGGGGGCGGCCTTGGCAGCTGGCCCCTACCCAGCTCCGGCTTCCGGCCTCCCTAGGGGGCGGAATCTGGGGGCAGGGAGGCAGGACCACAGAAAGGGGCAGGGCCTTGTACTGAGGGGGAGAGCACCCCACAATTTTCTGTCTAGCCCCCCTTACCCACCCCACCCACAGTGGGAAGCGGCTGGCACCCCCCGGGTCAGCCAATCACAGAATACAATCCCACTCATTCATGTACCAGGCTCTAGTTTACATCAAAAGTAGTTACTTGTCCCTACTCCTCCATTCTTCGCAATGAGGTTTGCCACCCACCCAGGGGTGCCAGACAGGGGGCCAGGATCCCCTCACTTTATACCTGCCATAAGGGGGAGCGATGGGGGAGGGGCAGAGAGGAGCAAGCGGGGGGTGGGATCTTGGGCGAAAGAAGCGGCGTGAGGGCGGGGACTGAGGGTGAATGGGTAGCATGAGGGCGGGGTCTGAGGGGCGGGGGCGGGGCCTGGGGGAAGGGGCGGTGCAGGATAGGCAGGAGAAGGCAAACGCAATGGCGGGAACTCGGGGGAAGGGCTGAGGTGAGGGTGGAGCCTCAGAGAAAGGGGCGGTGTGGGGGCGGGGCCTCAGGTGAAGGGGAGGGGAGTGGGCGGGGCGTCGGAGGAAGGGCCTGTGACAGGTTCAGTCACAGAGACCCCCTTGGGACTGTCACCTGATGTGCTGGAATTACCTCTGAGCCTGTTTTTTACTGCCAGTTTGGGACTCCAGAACCCTGCCTCGTTGAACCAGACACACTAGTCTGCAGCAACACAGACCCAGGTCTGATCCACACCCCCAAAGCTGCAGACTTTAACCCAAAACTGCTTAGCAAGTTACCTATCTCCAGCACCGGTGCTCGACTTTGGGAGGACGCGTGTCTGGAAGTGCTGGTTCTCCTGCAGGCAGTATCCGGCTGGGGGGTCCTCAGTGGGGCACAGGAGTTTTTGTGGTTGGGGTGTCGCTGGACAACCCTGGAGGAGGTGTTGGGTCTCCCAGGGGTGGGGTCTCGCTGTGGGATCTGGGGGCTGCGGGAGGCTCCTCCGTCGGCTGGATCTCGCCGGGCGGCCTGGGGGCGGCGCCGGTTGCTCCTACGGCAGGGCGGTATCAGGTTACCTGTCAGGGAGCGCTGCCCCGGCTCCCATCCATGTTGTGCTGGATGGTCTCCATGAGGTTGCTGAGGCATCTGGTGAGGTTGCTGACTTGCGAGATGGCAGTAATCCCCCTCACGGCACGGTCCAGCGTGGGGATTCTGGAGACAAGGCTGGCTCTTTTGGTGGTGCCGTCCTGTTGGTCGGTCCTCGAGACAGAGGTCGTGCTTCCCTCGACTGGCGGTTGGTTCCCCCTTACGCCTTGTGGCTCTGGGCGCTGGCTGGCGTGCTGAAGCCAGAGTATCAGTGGGGGTCAGAGTTGGGACCCACAGGGTGTCAGCAGAATTGGTCGTCGCCATCGTGAGGGGTCCCTTGTATGTGGTTTGATGATACTTGCATTTCTTTTGAGTCTCAAAGGGTAGGTGGCAGCGGCTACACTGGAAGGCGATCAGCTTGCTGTGGGCTTTCCGAACGTGCTTGCTGAGGGCCCCGATGGTCTGCACTTCACGGAAGAGAAAGCAGAAAGGGCAGAGGAGGAGGTCTGTAGGGATCAGGTACTGGAGGTAGGTGTAGTCCTCTTCCCCTTCCTTACCCTCTGTGGGGCGGACCTCTGTTGTGCCTGCAGACTCGCTGGGTGGTTCCTCTCAATCTGGCAGAGTAGCGAGCTTGTGCTTCCCCTTCTCCTCAACGCCCTAGCCCTGCACCACCTCTTACCCCAAGGCAACACCCCCACCCTGCCCCTTTTCCCCGATGCCCTGTCCTGCATTGCCCCTCCCCCGAGACTCCGCCCCTGCACCGCCTCTTCCCCCAAGGCAGGGCCAGATTAACTTTTTGTGGGCCCGGCGCCAAACATATTTGTGGGCCCCCATTGGGGAAGTAGGGCATGTGATGGGGTCGATCCGCAGAGCAAGGGGCCAGTTGGGGGACAATGAGGAGCAGCGGAGTGGCCCCACTCAGCCAGCACAAGGGCACTGTTTGCAAACCCAAAACTGCTAGATGCACACTGGCCTGCCAGCCCTGCGCTGCCAGCGTTCCCCTTCTACACTGCCCCCAGCCCGGTGCCCGGCCCTTATGCCACTGCCCCCTCACCCAGAGACTTCCTCCACAGATCCCTATGCCCAGCACCCCCTGCCTAGAGACCCCTCTGGCTACAACTGCACAGCACCCTGCACACCATACCCCCTGCCCAGCTCCCCCACCCACAGATCCCCTCCTGTCCAGCACCCCCTTCACAGTCCCACCATCACAGCTGTATGTGCCCCATATTCCGGAGGGAATTCTGCATCAAATTCTGTGCATCATATTTTAAAATTCTGATTTGTTTTTTAATAATAAATAAATGTGGAAGCTCCACCATGGCAGTGGGGAGCACAGGCCACTGGCTGCATGGAGGTGGGAGATCACCCTGCAGCCTCCCCCACCCCCCTGGGACAGGGACTTGGCAGTGAGACTGAACCTGACCCTGACACAGCACAAGGGCCAGGCCTGCCACAGAAACACCCTGGGGCCCTGCCCCTTTTGGGCCAGGCTCCCCAGATGTGGGCAGGGAGGCTCAGCCCGGCAGCAGGATCCAAGTGCAGAGGGACTTAGTGTGGGGGATCCAGATGGGGGTAGGAGGGTTCTGTGGGTGGGGGGGTAAGAGGGTTCTGTGTGTGGGGGGGTCTGGGTGCAGGCACCTCAGTGGGGGATCTGGATGCACAGGGAGGTGCCAGGTGCAGGGGCAATGGGAGTCTGCAGGGGGGACCAAGTGAAAGTGGTTGGAGCTCGGGGTGGGGTGGGGAGTCTGGGTGCAGGGGAGGTGGGGTTGTTGTACTTGAAGTACTGCACAGGATCTTTTCAGGGGGAATAAGGCAAATGCCACATTCATTGGTAACACATGCATCAATCAATACTGTATCATATGTGTAAGCAGAGTCCGGATGAGCTCTACCCTGACATCTGGTGGGGAATTATGGCGAGGGTGGAAAAGAGCTCCAGGGGCTGATCTTGTTTGCATAGGCACACCCACCCGCCTGGCAAGAAACAACAGCAACTCAAAGTGGTTACTTTGGCTGGTGTGGGCTCCCCAGTTTCTCTGTTATTGGGGCAGGAAGAATAAAGTTTTGTTACCCTGATTCTGTGAATGAAGGCCAGTGGAACTGTTGTATGACAGAAGGACTGAGTGAGTCCTTCCCCATTACCTAAGGAGCACTTGCTTGACAAGCGGCATGGGTTACACAACCCAGTGAGTTAAGAGAAAGAGGGAGGTGGTTTTGTACCTGTTGGTATATGTCTCCTGGTGGTTTGAAACACCAATTACACTAAATCCTCTTTCCGTTGTTGAACATCAGAGCTAACTTTGATTCCATGAGGAATCTAGTGACAGTTTTTTGAGCTGAATTCACTTTGGGCCAATGGTGCATTAGCCCTGGGACTCTCTTACTGCTAAGAGCCGAAGTTATAAAAGAGCTAAAGTTATTAAGAGCTAAGATCACTGACTGCTGTGTGAATGAGGGGGGTAGCCTAAAGCTATATTGCTAAGCAGCTGGTGGACCAATTTGTGGGGATGAGTGGAGAAGTGGTGCGGACCTTAGTGGGGTGGGTTGGAGCAACCCAAGGAACGGCTTGTGGGACAGCAGGAAGTGGACTGGCTCGAGTGAAGGCTGTGGTGGAACCCCATGGAGAGATGGCCGGCCTCGGATCACGTAAGGTGCTCCTTAACACCCTGCGTGCCCCCCCTCTTTTGCTGTGGGGCTGCACTGGCCAGGGACAGAGACTTTTGGATTTGTTGGACTTTTGGGACTTTGGGTGGTTGCTGGATCATCACCTCAGAGCCATACAGAGTCAATTTTGACTCCAGAAGAAGACGTAGAGGAACAGCCTGCAATACCTTACAATCTACGCTCTTGTAAGGGTTGCCAGAAGCAGACGACCACCTAAAGCAAGGCCCAAGAAGAAGCAGTAGTGAGCCTAGCG